GCTCGCATTCGAGCCCCAACCCCGGGCCTGGCTCCAGGGTGGGGCCCCGGCTGCGCCATGCCGGGCGACGTCACGGGACTTGATGTTAGTCTATTCATAAGGGGCTTTTGAACCACTCTTAGTCTGACCCGTCACCCAGGACCTGTTTGCCTTGGGAGACCCTACCAGGGACATATAGCCCCCGACAACATAGCTCCTAGGATCACTCGGGTACTCAAACCCCTCCACCACAATAAGGTGGCGGTTCAAGGAGGGGATAAAAGAGAGTGTAATTTCTTTTGTTTTGTTGTTGTTTTTGTTTAGTTTTTGTTGTCCATCCCACCAGGATATTGTTAGGAACTGGGATAAAATCCAGGAGAATCTTTAAGTTAAGCTCTGGAGCCTTCTTGATGCTTAGTCTTTCCCTCAGGTGTTCTCCCAGTCGCTGTGAACACGGCGCTCGATGCAGTCAGTCCTGGACCGTCTTCCACTGTAACTGCTCTGACAGCGGCTAACGGGGGCCCCCCTGCCACAGCTGTAAGTCACCTGTCACTCATCATCACATGCCCTCTAGACAATAGGCTGAGATCAGCCAATGGAGATATAGATCTTGACACCCCAGACAAAGCCTCATGATCACATAATGATACAGTTGCTTGTTGCGGTTCATTCACTGGTGCATATTCCAAAATAAATGTGCAGTTCTTCAAATGACGGCATACTAAATGCCACACAGTGAAGCCAAAGCTCTTTGCTAGGTGTCCACTTTGCTGGATGTGGAGATAGTGATTCTCTCTCCTAGAAAATAGCCTAGATATATATCATTTTACTACTACTTGTTAGGTTGAGGTGATGAAAGTCAAAGTCAAGTCTCGAGTCTTCGAAGTGCAAGTCCCTTATGGTTGCAATGAGCATCCTGTCATCTGCTGTGTGCCATCCAGACTGCATAGAACACTACTTATCCAAGGAAGTCAGCGTATATACTGCATTATCATCACTCATTATCTATTAGCATACAGTATCAGCTTTGATTAGTTGTTAGTGTTTGGCTGAGTGGATATATATAAAAAATGAATATTGATGGTTACTCAGGGTAACAGGAAAATACTGCTAACATTATAGGCATAACAACTGTAACTTACTTTTTCAATAAAAGTAAGGAGTACGACCAACTGTGTTATTACACTGGGTCTCCAACTAATGATAGCTTATACTCTACTATAAATTAACATGCTGCTGTAGCCTCTCAAACCCGGTGTAATGGTAACCTCATACGGCTGTAACATTACATGTTCAACAGTAAACCTGCCTGTAGCCCATGTTAGTAATTATCATGGTCTTTCTCTCAGTTTAACGTTAGCCTAGGCAGAGAATGAAATTCCTGTTACATAAAGTAACTGGAGCAAACTGCAATAGGGCAAAGTGAAAAGGCACTGACTTTATAAAATAAAAGAAATAGTGCACACAGTGAGCCAGTAAAGACATGACAAATGGCTGAGTAAAGCAGTGTGATGCCTGCATAATATCCTTCTCCCACTGCAGCATTTATGAAACCTGTGTGTGTGTGTGTGCGTGTGTGTGTGTGTGTGTGTGTGTGTGTGTGTGTGTGTGTGAGCGATATGATGGCGGTTAATGAGTCTGTAGCTGTGACTAAACTGACAAATACTGAATGTATAAATAAAACTGTGGAGGTGAGATGAGCCTATAAGTGAGATTTGCTGGTTCCATGCTAATTCTTTCAAGTCAAATCCATGATACTAACGGAGGAGAGTTTCCAAGACGCATAAAAACTGACTCTCTGCTCAGTTTCCATTAACTGAAATGAATATATACTCTGGGCCCAGTGAGCACGAGGTCAGCCAAGTCTGAATTGTAAATTCCAGTAAACACTTTAAGGCTTTCTTCTGACCTCGAGACACTGCAATCTCCTTGGCTCGAAGGTCTGGCATCAGAGGTTGCAACGACCCTTATGAGTTATAATAAAGACAGTGTAACAGTACATACATTTCATTAAACACTCAACCACAGGTCACATTTTTATTGCTGAAATCAGTGAAATCTTTTTTCTCATCACACTGAGGGGTGTGATGAATTAAAGGCCTCTGACTGTGCAGAAGAAGAGAGATAAACAGGTGAGCAGAGAGTGGAAACCTCAGATATGGATTTGACTTGAAGGGCTCAACTGCAGTGGATGCACTGGTGTGTGTATGCGAGACTGACTGCCCTGTCTCTTCTTCTCTGTCTCCATAGATTAAGGTCCAAAGTTCTGTTTGCTGTGTTCCTATCAGTCTTTATAGGACGCTGCTGCAGAAATAAAACACCTCACTGTGGTTATTTGATTTGTTATATTTAATGCCGATATATACAGTACATATGAAGCAGCAGCCATAATCCTCCACAGCTCCTGTGTGTCAGCCACGTGACTGTTGATGTGATTCATGTTAAAGCCAATCTCATTATCACACACACCCCCACCCCCCACCAGCCGTGTACGAAGAGTCCTGTGAGGCGTACAAACACAACGGCAACACGTCGGGACATTTTTATATCGATGTGGACGGCAGTGGACCAATCAAACCACAGCTGGTCTACTGCAACATGACAGGTGACACACACACGCACACACACTCATCCTCCCATCATCACTGTGTTTAGTATGATCAACATTTACATAACAGTAACTGATTATTGTTCCACTCATCACTCTCCACTCCACTCTTTTGTTCATCCTCCTTTCTCTGTCTCAGTATTTGTTTTCCCTGTTCATCTACCTCTCTGTCCATTATTAGCATCATGACATATTTATCTTATATTTTTGGCCCCACAGTGTCACAATACTATACAGCTGGAAATACTCCATTAGATTATGGGTTGTAGGCCAGCTTTCTATAGACCCTACAGCTAAACACAGCTTTTCCTTTAGCTGAAAACCCAGAAGAGCCCACAAGCAGTTCAGGGAGAAGGAGAAGGAGCGAGACCTTCAGCTTTAACTAATCCTTCACCAGTCCAAATATTTTGTATAATAATGTAATCCTCAACTCAAGATGCTTTAAAGCTGTTTCAGAGCACTCTCCAGACATTTCCACATCTCTCCACAAACAAATATGCACCTGAGGAAAGCACAGACTTCTTTAAAATAACATACATTTTAAAGAAGCAAATGCCTCACTGACCTACAGTAATTACCTGTGTGAGTCAATGTGTTTGCTCTTGCTGTTTCATTCAACAAGTGAACTTTCTGATGTCCTCTGACTGGATAAATTAGCCTCCAACTAAACAGTATAGACATAAATATTTAAAATAAATAAATGTATCAGCAGTAAGCTCAACGGTTTGTTGAGGTTTTTTCACTTTTGTATAAAAAGAGAAACAACAACAAATAGAATAAGTACAAAAAAATTAGTCATCAAAGTAAAAGGGAGAGACAGGAAGAATAAGAAAGAGAGAGAAAAGTTCCCTTTCCTGATTTTCAGTACTCAGAGCTGAATCTGTATGATCATAGTTTTTTTTGTTTTGTTTTTTTTTTTACTATTTCCAGAGGAGAAGACATGGATGGTCATCCAACACAACAACACAGAGCTGACCAGAGTCCGGCCCTCACCAGGTGTAAACCAGCATTTGGTTCACTTTGACTACTCAACTGAAGAGGAGCAGCTATTGGCTGCCATGAGCCAATCAGAGCACTGTGAACAGGAACTGTCCTACCACTGCAGGAAGTCCCGCCTCCTCAACACTCCAGGTAAAACCTGTTTGATTATTCAGGTAGTTAAATAGCTAAGGAGCTGGAATTCAAACCAGGAATAATCAGAAGATTTAGCTGAACCCTCTCAGCTTCATTGGCCTCCAGTGGGAAAAAAGATTAACTCAAACAAATTAGGGAAAACAAATAATTGTCTTGAAGATAGTAAAATAATCTGCTAATGTGTTTTCTCTTCTCTCTTAAAGCCTTGATTTACTCAACCACTGAATCGCACTTGTTTTAATTTTTGTTCTTTCTCTGAATCTAATTTTATATGAGCGAGTTATGAGGCTTATACAAATATACAAATGCTCTGGAGAAAATGGTGTGATTCCCTGCAGCTCCACACGTGTTTCTCTCTCTACCAGACCAAACTAAATGACTGCTGTGCTCATAATTTCAAACTTAATCAGGTTCCAGGGATTTTCTTGTTCACCAGTGAACCAGACAAATTGATTATGTATGATTTGTTTAAATGTCTTGAGAATTAAGGCAAATTAATGTGTCTGTGTTTTTTTTATGTTTTCATGGTCATTAACTGACCCTGATGCTGAGAGTTAGAACCACCAAAAAGGTGCATTTTTTCCCTGGCAAAACTGTTTATGACAAAGTGGACGGGAAACTTGTCATAATTATCATTTTATGCCCATAATTGCAACATTTATCTTTAATGCATTTGCGTTCAAGCAGCATACACTGTATGCATATTACAGCTTTAGAGAAAATGCTGCAGGGCATTTGAATAATCCTCCATGTTATTCATCCATCTCCTGTCTGGTTGCAGCAAAGACAGTTGGCAGAAAAATGAAGCTGGAATCATAAGGAGCAAACAATAAGTGGCCTGAAGAAAGAGTACAGGAAGAGACAAATGGATTTTACTTTATTGTAAGCCACTCAAAGCCACTGTAAACTAAATGCCAAGAAAGTAAGATCCATCAAAATTACAAGTGGGGCAGTACATAATGCCGGGACCAGAGCTGCAACGTCTAGGCAGGATTTATGGACACTTTGTTGTTGTGTTCTAGTAAGATACATATAAAAAGCTGAAGGATTTAATATTTTGGAATATAGAAAATGGATGGAGAAAGCAGAAGTAGTTACATTCTCATTATTTTACTAATGATGCTCATAAGTCACAATAAATAAACAACAGTTTTTTTTTCTTTTTAATCATTTCCAAAAGCTGTTTTCAGTTTTACTGTATTTTATTGTACATAGTAGTTTTTCTTAGGGAATGTGAAGTGAAAGCAACACTCAAACCAAAAAGGTTTTGTCTGTTTTTGTGGGTCATCTTTGAATATTTTACTTGTGTATCCTTTTTCATTATAAGATCATATGATGTCCAAACAACAACATGCTATAATAAATACACTTCCTTTGTGGGCAAATCAGTAGAAGTAAATTACTATTTACAGTATAACAGCTCATACAGCTCTGAGCTATTTTCTCTGTCTTGTCCTGTAAGAAAAATGTAACACACTTGCAGAGTGAATGATGTACAGAGTTAGGTCAGATTGATTTCTCATATGCATTAGTTGTCATGTGTGTGTTTCAGAGGGCTCTCCGTTCAGCTGGTGGCTCGGTGGTCCTGGCTCCGGTCGTCTCCAGACGTACTGGGGAGGAGCCCAGCCAGGCAGCCAGCAGTGTGCCTGTGGTCTACAGGGCGACTGTGTGGATCCACAACACTACTGCAACTGTGACGCTGACCGCACGGAGTGGTACTGACATTAATAAACTCACACAGATAGTTTATATTTTTCTCAAAGTAATGCAGTGGCAGAAGAAGTACTCATATCCCTTACTTAAGCAAAAGTAGCAATACAAAAGTGTAAAAATACTCTGTTACAAGTAAATGTCCTGCATTTAATATGTCAGGGACAGAACAGTAAGGCAGAGGACACAGCTTTTAAAACCCAAAAAGGAGAAAATACAAACATCAATATCAAACTAACTAGTCCTTTTAAGGAGGTCAGCAAAAGATAAGGAAATTCAAAATACAGCAAACTGAACTGCACAGTACCTCAAACAAAAACCAACTCACCTAACAAATGGCAACAAATAGGTAACACATATACTGGCTGGCCAAACCAATGCACACTGAACAGACAGTCTGCTAATAACTAAATATTTATCTTTACATTTTAAAAAAAACATAGCTTGACAAAGTTTAAACATAAACCACAAAGAAATAAACGACACATTTCTCCCAAACTCCCCCCTTTCCTGTACTGGGCACTTGGTACAGTCCAGGCCTGCTGCCGCCTCAGTCCAATCTTTATGTCGGGCCCACCTCTAGCAAACAGGTGACTAAGTGAATGCAGGTTCAAAGGAATACAGGTAAAAATAGTATAAATAAGAGATGAACATGAACCAAACCAAGGGAAAAATCAGAGTCCAGACACAGGAAGGCAAAGAGTTCAGGCAGGGAGGAAAGAGGAACAGGTCAATAACAAAACAGATAAGTGACAGAACATGTGCACTGAAGCTGCTACAGCTGCTGTTCAATATTTTAACAGACTCATGAAGTACTGTACACACCAGTCCTTCCAATCATGGGTATATTTTTATACACAACCTTCCTCAGCAGGCGTTTAAGGCTGAGTGTGGGGAATGGAACGTAGGTGTCTTGTTGGGGGAGTAGCTGTTCTGTAAGACGGGCGTGGATGGAGCGTGAGTGTCAGAATATTTTATTTTGGGAGTAGACATGTCCCCAAGCAACTGCACCTACACAGTGAAAAGTTTGCATCAACCTGTCACAACATGTAATAATGTCAACAGGGTATATGATGGAAGAATAAAAATATACACGCTAATACATTTATGCAAACAAATAAGGAGAATTAGGGTTTTGTGATTGGTGTGTTTTTGTTCATCCTTTTTCTTACATATTAATCTGGTCCTGATACTTCTGCTTCCTCTATATGTTCTTCAAAGCTCATCCTCTTCTTAAATTTGCCTTCCTCTCCTCTTTAAATCTTATTTGTCCTTCATCTATTTTCCTTCCCTCTTCTAATTATTACTGTCATACTATTATGTCTTCGTCATCTTCTCCTGCTGATTTTATCATTTCTTTTTTTTCCCTTTCTTCTTCTTCCTCTACCAGGGCTGAAGACTCAGGCTTGCTCATCCATAAAGAGAGCCTCCCGGTCAAGTCTCTGGTGCTGGGTGACATCCACAGGCCAGGGTCGGAGGCTGCCTACAGGGTGGGACCGCTCTGTTGTCATGGAGACAGTAGGTCACCCCAAATTCTGTGACTGCCCGCTTACACTTGCTTTGAACAGGACAGAAAGGTCTTATTCTTAAAACTGCTGTTGGCTTGGTCAAACAAATGCAAATTTAGTTTGAACAGAGCTGTTTTGTAATGAGCCTGTCAGCTTCCAGTTTCAGTTATTTTGTCTTGCAAACAGAGCCAACTCAAGCGTGATTCCAGTATTATTGCAAATAGTTGTTATTCACTTGTGTGTAGTGTATAACATATCTATTTGATTGCACAGGCTAACATAGCCTGCAGTATGTCATGCTAAGTCACACTAAGTAACTCCATGAGCCACAAACTATGGCAACAACTTGCACAATCGAGCATGTTCATCAGTTCTTATAGTGTCCCCTGGAAACTTAACTCAGTTTAGTTTTGTTCACTGCATCCTGCAGTTTTTCTGTATTTCCTTATGTTGTAGTATATTTGCAGCATGTTTGTGCATTTGGCTGCATTTTGTTGTATGTTTTCACATTTTGTTGTATGTTTTAAAGTGGCTGATGTTGTATTCATGTGACTGTGTTTTATTTTTGCATGTGTTTTCTTTCTGTAAATGTCCCCACTGCAGGGACAAAATGGGGATATTTAAACCTAAAGCATTGCTGAGGTTTTTGTTACAGGTGGCCAACATTGTAGCATTAAGACTTTTGGGAACTTGACTAAACATTTCTTTTATTCCAAACACATCAGAGCAACCATTCTGTCTGTTCCTCTTTTAAAGTATTTTGTAATTTCAGTTTTTAGTGCCTGCAAATTAATACATTTGCTACAAATGTCAAAGCAGAGCTATTATAACTACACTTTTGTTTTCAGCTAATCAGCTTAACAGGTCAACTCGTTTCTGAACAGTGGGTTTTTTCTGTATGTGTGTTTCTCAGAGAACTTCTGGAACGCTGCGTTTTTTGACAAGGAGACATCATACCTCCACTTCCCCACCTTCCATGCGGAGCTGAGTGCAGATATCTCCTTCCTGTTTAAAACCACAGCCTCCTCTGGTGTGTTCCTGGAAAACCTTGGCATCAAAGACTTTATCCGGATCGAACTGAGCTGTAAGTAGGAGCTGGATGATAAAGACAAAATATGTATTTCTGTAAATTATGTGGGAAGAGTATGATTTATAGTATGACAGCAAAACAAATAGCTTGTTTTTTTTAATCTATATTTATGGGTCTAATAGTGAGGCAGTTAGAACATACAATATAAATTTTCCCGCTTGGGATTATACTTTCTTCATTCTGTTTTTTCTCACTGCTAGAAATAAAGTGTTTTCTGGGGGACTTATAGTTGAGGATGGTGGCATTTTCCTTTTATTTACCCTTTAACTGTTGAGATTAGATGAAATTGTTTTATTGTTTTTATAGACAGGCTCGTTTGTGTGCTTCCAGCAGTTTATTCTGCTTTGGGCTGCATCATTTGTTGTTTTCTAATCAGTTTCCTCATGCTGCACAGTCATACACCTCTGTGGATAGTCTGCTGACAGAGGACAGCATTGCAAAATGTGAAGATTAAACCCATTAAATGGAACTCATAACAACTACGGGCATTTTTTGCAACCCTGATTTTAATTTTACTGTTGTTTTAGAAACTCTCAGGGGCATTTTATCCTGACCCTCCATTAATTCCTGTCTCTTGTGTAATGCACACATTTATGGGCATTGCAGTGTGTCATTTTGATTATGACAGTAATAACCAGCAGGGCGTTATTTAGTTTATGGGTGCCATGGTAATGTGGTAGGGTGTAAGATGCATGTTTATAGCCTAGCATAGATTTCGTCGTTTGAAATATAGCTGCATTACCCAAGAAGGTGTCCTTGTGCTTATATGGTTATGATTGTGGTGCAGCATGGCATGAAGTACACACTTACTGTATGTACACAGCAGTGGCGGATGTCATTTAATATAGATGTCTTGAAAACGGTTAGTGGAGTCATCGATGGTTACCTTTTGCAATTCTGTTTCCAGCTCTGTAACACTGACTGAGCCTGAGAACACTTTCTTCACTTTCATTTTCCGTGGATTCTTAGTAGTACGTCCTCACCGTCCACCAGCACAACATGAAGATGCCTGATTTACTTTGCGTGTGCTCTCCTAAACCTTTTCCTGTTGGTGGAGTGAACATTGACAGCAGAGCAGATGGCAGAAAATCAATACATTCAGCACTGAGGTGCTGTCCATGGTGCTGAACCAGCAGGGCCAAGGAGCTGGCCGTGGTCCTGAACATGATGCTGCACAGAAAGACAGTGGTGGAAAAAGATACTTAATGCAGCTACAGTTATTTTTATAATAACATATGTATTGATAATGTAAATATACTGTGGTAGTGTGAAAGGGGTTACCATAACCTCCGGCCACAACAGGCAGAGGTTTTCATCAATAAAGCTCCTACCTGCCCAGCACCAATCAGGTGATGGACCCAATTAATGATTATGTGCTGAAAATACTGATATATTTAGGAGCTAAAGAGTCAGATATTTCCCTCAGGAGCTGGTAGAGACCAAAAACAAAGCTGAAAGATTATTATTGATTATTGAACTTGAGTTTGTCAGGTGGCCTGAAAATATAACTCCAAATCAAAATAGTTAAAATGAACAACTGTTTGCTAAAAATCACCGCATTGTCAACTGATGGGATACAATTGCAGTGTTGTGTTCATTTGTTTGTTTATGCTGCAGGTTTAAGTAAAAGTATCAGTACTACAAAATGAGGTACAATACATGTCAGAGGGAAATATTGTACTTTTTAATCCACTGCTTTCACTGTGTATGCATATAAAGGTTTAAAAATGAGCTCTACCCTGACTGGCTATAGTTGTGTAATACTCTGTAGATATACAGTATTGTAACACTCCAATAAAGAGTGTAATGTTGACTTTTATTTTTTATACTTAAGTACTGTAAGTAGTATGAAACAGAAATACCAAATGTAAGTCTGACAGCCTCAAAACTGTGCTTGTGTAAATGAGCCAAGTTACTGGCTGATGGCAAAAGGCACAGCACCCCCAGATCATCTGCTGTGAGGTTTCCTGGGATGCTGCCAGCCTGCAATAAAGACCATTATAGCTGCTGGAAAGCAGAAGAAGCACATAATCTAGTTCTCTCATGTAATCAGTACATAACCTCCTGCCAGAATCATTTCTGTTTTGTTTGTTTGTTTGTTTGTTTGTTTTTGCTATCCTGCAAAAAAACGTTCCCAGTCTGCTTAGTTAGAAGCTCAGCTGGCTTTAGGGCTTGTTGTTTTGTTGTGAGAGAGTAATTAAACTTAATTCCACAAACTCCTGCACTCCCCTCAGTTCGTTTGTTTCTACTTGAGTTCAGCCTACCTGCTTGTAAAAGCTCTTGTGTGTATTCCCATTTGTGGCACTGGCAGGTCTTACTTGGACTCTGAGGGGGAATATGCAGCTATGCTGTAAATGAAGACTGATCCAGCTGTGTTTGGCAAGATTTGTGTGTGTGTGTGTGTGTGTGTGTGTGTGTGTGTGTGTGTGTGTGTATGAAGATGTAACCATGGCCTCAAACTAAATCACTGTGTGAGATTTCAGCAGTCTCCCATAAATTGAGATGCTGTGAATTTGCCTTATTTTCTCTGTTTAATGAATAGTGTTTGGCTTTCTGTGTCCACACGTTATTCATCATTATTAGGTTTCCATTGCATTTTAGTTTTTGTAAATTACGAGTCATTAAATGTCAATATTTCAATATATAACAGTATTGATTTAAATATTGTTCAGGAAGACCAGAATGTTTTGAGCAAAGTGATTTTGGTGGACTGACCAGGCTGAATGCCTTCCCTTGATTAAATGTGGTTCTGAGAAGCATTTGTTGTGACATTTTAATTAAAGCAGTAATTAACAAGAAACGATATTTTGATTTGTAGAAAATGAATTCAGGACTTCAGACAATAAAGTACATCTGTTTCATCAAGCAAGAGAATGATTGGCATTAAGTTTAGCATGGCAAACAAGTGGTAAGATGTTAATTATCTACTTTTCTCTTTGGATGTTTCCCTATGTCCCCTTCCTTCAACACATGACTATCTACATAAATCACCCTCCACCTCTCTCACTATCCCTTCTTCTTGCCCTCAATCAGCCTCCACTCAGGTGGTTTTCTCCTTCGACGTGGGTAACGGGCCACTGGAGGTTCGTGTGGAGTCGAGCGTCCATCTGAATGACAACCGGTGGCATCGAGTGCGAGCTGAGCGGAACATCAAGGAGGCGTCACTTCGGTTGGATGAACTTCCTGCTGCCACACAGGAGGCTCCTGCAGATGGACACTTCCACCTGCAGCTCAACAGCCAGCTGTTCATAGGTGAGGAGTGGGACATTCTTGTGTGTGCATGACAGCCTCAGTCTCTGTCTCAGCCTCAGTGCTGCTGGGTTCATGACCCTTTCTAAAATCTTCTGGGACTGGAAAATTAATTTCTTTCTCTTGATCACTCTTTCTACTTACTTGTCTTGTGTTTTGTTCAAGAGATTGAATTGTTCTGTGCCTCTGTCTCACCTGCAGACAGCAGGTTGATCACCAAACTTTTGGTCCAAATATTTTTGTCTTTTGTCAGTAAAATTCGTGGTTTCTTTCTTAACTTTCCACTGGATGGTTTTTGATGAAACAAAAATTATTACAGAGCTGTGTCTTGTTATTCAGGTGTTTTGTAAGGAAAAGTTTAGGTATTGCTAACATGTACAACATGCGATGCTCCATAGTGCTGTCTGTCTCCGTTAAATCCTCAGAAATGGGCTAAAAATATTGCCTGTTTTTCACGTGTATCAGCTTTTGGCTAAATCCTGTTGTCAGCTAAGCATTACTGGATATAAACAATGCTAAGCCTGCACATCTGCTCTACAGAGCTTCTACTATCTCTTCATTCACAGCCTTACATACAAGAAAGCAAACAAAGAGCCAAACTGGTAGTGGCCAAACACCACCAGCTGCTCAGCACTGTTGGATATGAAAGTGCTGAGTCTATGGTTTCTGAGCACTGAACAAAAAACACATTTAATAAATCCTGTAATTGGGGAACAGTGATGTAATTTCTTGAATCTGTAAATGAATCATAATGTGTGAGATATTTCTTAGTCAACTACATAATTTACCATCAGCAGGCAGAGAATCTCCATTGATACTGCACCACTGTTTATCATCAGTTCAGGTATGCAAATGAAATTCTCCATTTAACTTCTGATTGAAAAATACTGCAAAGCTATCACTTATCAGATGTTATCATTCTTTGAATATTTTGTTGTTTCATATTGGTAAACACACTTTAGAGGGAAAACAAACCAACGAGCAGTGATGAGATTAGATGAAAACAGCTGCAGCAAATCTGAGCTGAATATTGATTGGCTGAATGTGTTTAGCCAATAATCTGCTCTGAACAGTCACCACCATCCGTCTTAGACCCGTAATCCTTTATAGAATACACTGGAATACTGAGAGATGTATGTGTTTGACAGGGGGAGATCTAGAAAATATTGGATTGGGTGGACAGGCTGGTGCACAGACTCACAGAGTGGCACATTTGAAATGCATGCTAAAGGTAAATTAAACCTCTAGTGCTATGAAATAAACAACACATGATTAAGAATAAACTTGTTTATTGTGTGTAAAAATGAGACACACATGGTGATTTCTTTAGATAACTTTGGCTGCGCTCCTTATTTACTGCTGGTTGGGGACATTACGGCTGTGTTTCAGTGTCTTAGCCATGGACACTTGTGGGCTGGGGATAACGGGAGTTGAACCGCTGACCTTCTGGTTAGAGGACGACTGCGCTACCTCCTGAACCACAGCCACCTTGAATATAAATCGACTTTGCCTAATGTTTTTAAAATGCAATGTCCTGGTGCACCCTAACATAAAAACCTGCTTTCATAAGCCAGAAAAACAAAATCTGTTCAAATGTCAACGACCCTCCTATTACTTTTGTAAAGAATATTAATCAAAAATGTTTATGTCGTTACTCTGTTTTCTTAAAAGGTTTGGGGGCATTTTCACCTCTGTGTTACTGTTCTTCTTGTGTTACCTACTTCAATAATTTGTAGTTTGTAACTTGTTTGTCTCAGAGCTCGGTGTTTTATTGGTGTAACAAACTGCTGATGCTCAGTAGTAGGAGGTTGTCAACTTTGAGAGCTGAGAGTGAAGTGCTGGTACTCTATGTCTGAACACTGATGACAATAACAATTTTAGCCAGGATCTTTGCAGATGACAGGTTGGCTGTGTGTGTGTGTGTGTGTGTGTGTGTGTGCGCGCCCAAAGGTGGACACGTATTCTTGATGTTGTTTCACTGTCACTGGATTTGTAACCATTATAAAATATGACAAACTGCAAGCACAGGTGGAGATGGTGCAAGGAAAAGTGATGGAATGGGAATTTCTTCTGCCCTTCCACCTGCAGCGTGTTGCCTCATTGCTGTTTCAACATTTCATTATATAGGTTTTAACAGCTCAGAGCTTCTGGAGGAGCAGAGATGACAAGAGGAGGAGAAAGGAAAAACATATGGGTTTTTCAACAAAGAAATTTTAAAAAATGCTGGGATAAAGGAGGCAGACAGGAATATTTCCATCTCTGTTCTGAGTGGTAGCTTTGATGTTGGTCTTGGTGTTGATTTTTTCTGATAATTCAGCTATGCAGGAAATTTAAAATGAAGCACAATACATCTGTGTGCTTTTTTATTTTATCAGGAGGGACAGCATCCAGGCAGAAGGGCTTCCGAGGCTGCATTCGCTCTCTGCAGCTGAACGGTGTGACGCTGGACCTGGAGGAGAGGGCGAAGATCACACCTGGGGTTCGGCCCGGCTGCCCTGGTCACTGCAGCAGCTACGGCTCGCTCTGCCTGAACCAGGGCCACTGTGTGGAGCGAGCCAGCGGCTTTCACTGTGACTGTGGCCTGTCGGCTTATGCTGGAGTCTTCTGCCATACAGGTACACACACTGTACACTGAGCAGACGTCTGTAGCTCACCATGTAGACCAGCGTGTCCTTTAGTCACAGTGCAATGCTTCTCCTGTATGTAAGACACTAATCCCTAAATCTGCTGCTGTCACTGTGTGTGAATGGGTGAATGAGAATTGTAAAGCTTTTTAAACGTGATAAATGCCAGGTAATCACCTTAGGGGTGCAGGTAAAGGGTACCAGCCAATGTCTTTATGCTTTCTTCTTTGGCTGGAGAATATACTAAATTCTTTTGGAAGGACAAATTTAACAAATTTTGATTTAAGACTGACTTTCCTGCCAAGTAACTCAAACCAATAAAAATAGCCAAATAAGTTGCTGGAAGAGTTTAAGTGCTGCTGACAAACTTCTCACAGTCTTTATGAAGCTGAAGCGGTTAAATAAATTTCTTTTCAACTAAGAAAACATTCATGGTGCCACTTACCTTGACCTCTCTCTTGAGATCTGTCTAGCCACTTTACGACACATTGCGTCTGCTGTCTGCTCTAAATTTACTGTCAACAGACAAGGGTAAATGCATCAGTTCCATCTGTCTTTACAGTGCATACAGTCTATACAGTCTATACAGTACATTCTACCTCAGCACATGGGCAGTTATTTCTATAAGACTGGATGAATGCTCATAATGTACTTTAAAAAACTTAAAGGATGAAATTGCAAACGTGAACAGACACCAGATGAAATTATTTGGGCTGCCCCCTAACAGTCATTTCATGTTTTAGTTGAGGACATGAGATACTGCCATGTAAAGGTCTGTAATGAGCCTCTCTGTGGCTGCCTTTCTTCCTCCAGAGGTGTCGGCCAGCTTCAAGTCGGACACGTCTGTCAGCTACACCTTCAAGGAGCCCTATGAGTTCATCAGGAACAGCAGCGCTCTGCCGTCTTCCATCTACTCTGACACGACCCTGAGGGGAGAGAACGTCTCCCTGAGCTTCAGGACGAACCAGAGTCCGGCTCTGCTGCTCTACGTCAGCTCCCACTACAGAGAGTACCTGGCCCTGCTCATCAATGAGTACGGTGAGGAGGGCGCACACATGCTTTTATTGTTTGGTTCACATTCAAACCACAGGTGGAGTGACTTGTTTTGATTTAATGCCCTGTTTTCCTCAGTTGCTTTTATTAATATTAATGTTTTTCTCAACAGTGTTTGTATGTAAAGTTTCACTCTCTTCCCTCCTTTCTTCAGCTTCTCTACAGTTTTCTTCGTATCCTGCTTTTCTGATTCTTGCCTCTAATTACTCCCATTAGCTTTGGTTAATTTTCTCTGGTTTCCTTTTTTGTTCTTTTCTTTTTAACTACAGTTTCCAAACCACAGAGACTACAAGTCTGTTCAACACTCTCCTTTTCATCTCTCTTTGTCTTCTTCCTTGAACGTTTTCCAATTAGTCCCCTCTCATCACATCTCCTCCCTGGCTCTCACCTCCCTGGCTCTCTCCCATTTCTGTCATCTTCTCCTAATATCAACCTCTTCTCCTCTCTCCCTCCTCGTCGTCCACTGCTCTGCAGCCTGACCAGATCTATCAGGATGTGTCAGATCTTTCCTCTCCCTGGATTCACCCCGTCAGCCTCTACTGCCTTTTAATCTGTCCAGCTGCGTCGGCTATTATGTTTTGTCTCAGGCTAAAAAAGTGTTCACTGAGAGAATAAAGATTTAGTGGGCTGTTAATGGGGGAGGTCACTATGCCTCTGAAAAGTAGCAGAAAACTTTTGAGTCCAATAATTATCTTGTGGCTTTGGCTTGTAAAAGTAGTAGGAGGCACTTTGACTCTAAACTTTCATTTTCAGCATCCAGGAGTCTAATAAAAGCAGCACTTTACTGCTAGATTAGCAGTCAAGTGGATTTTTTCCTGGTGTTAATGACTCAGAGAAAGTTGATGGGGCTACGTGCTGATCGTGGAGTCGTCAGGTAAATGCTCTTAAACTGAAGTATCCAATTAAATCCCTGAGAGCTTTCGCTTGTTTGGCTACGTCGCTCCCTGCTTTGGTTAAACCTCTTCAGCCCAAACACAGAAATTCCTTGTCAATCACTTAAGGCCTGTTTGCAAGATTACGTACATTTATTATGAAAAACAACAGCTACACCAAATTATTTTAGTCTTGGTAATTACAGCTTTGTAATAAAAAGCATAGCAAATTATATTAATGAAATGTTCTTTATGGGATCGACTACTATATTTATAATAAATATTAGTATGTATGTGTCTGAAGGACAGGATGTAATTTCCTCTCCTCCATTTTAATTTTAAAAACCCAAAGATATCACAGGGCTTTCATTAAATCTGCTCTTAATGCTGTGATTATTAGGAAAATTAATTGGATTTGGGGTTTTGTCATTGATAGGGGATTAAGTTCTAATCCTCTGAAAAAGGCTAGCTTTATTAACCTGCATACTTATCATTGAGATCCATCACTGAGGAAAAGAAAGACATCTTAAAACAACAAAGATTAGAGAAAAAGACCTTGATTTCCAGTAACAGAAAAAGTTTAAACTGGAAAAATGTTGTGTGTCTGTGTGTGAAGGTACGTTGGAGGTGAGATACAAGTTGGACAGCAGCAGAGAAGCTGAAGTGCTGAGGAGCAGAGTGGGAGGCCTGGCCAACGGACAACTGCACACGGTTACCATCAGGAGACGGACGGAGTCTGTGGCTGTGCAGGTCTCACACACACACAAACACACACACTTCTACCTCTATCTCAGTGAGGACACTCATTGACATAATGCATTCCCTAGTCCCTAACCCCTAATACTTAACTAAATGCCTAAACCCAATTCTAAACTCAACCCTAAAACCAAGACCCTCAAAAAGGTGTTTCACAAAGTGGACTGGCCAAAATGTCCTCACTCTGTAGCAGAAAATACTTTTTCACTATATAGCAAGTACAAGAACACAAATACACACAGAGTATTAGTTATACCATGTAAATTTCCTATGATTCTTCCTCCATGCTAACACGCTGTGAACATACATTGATGACCTGACGTTTGCCAAATTTCAGATTTGTATTAACATGTCACTGTTGCCAGGTTAACATTAATAACATGGTGGTTCACAGTCTCCTTCCTCTTCGCTGCCCTTCAATAGAATACTGACACTTTTTACAAAGTAGTATTTAAACAGTGAAAATTAAAATGTTGAGACGTATGGTAGGGATACATGTGTGGGTGTTTGCAACTCTTCAGTGATTAAAATAATACACAGAGACCCTTCTTAGCAGTGCTGTGTTGTTGCTCAGAGATAATAAATCCCCAGATATGCCGGCAGGGCAGCAGGGACATGCGACACATTGGAGAAGCTCTAGATGAAATATTAAGTGTCTCAGTCGTATCTGAATCTACTGGATGTCTTATCTTGTTAACAACAGCCTCAGATGATATATGAGGCAAACTTCAGTGCACCAGGACGCAGCAGCCTGGATGTGCGTGTAATTATAAACACAATGATATGAAACACAAGGTGACCTCGTCTTGCGTGGGTGCAGCCTCCTGACTGTGTTGTGAGGCCCCAGTGAAACATGACGTGCGTCTCATCCTGCTGCTTTCCATCACCTTGAATTATTATGTTGTTAGTAGCTTACTCCAGGGACTTCAGATGAACAAGAGTTTCACTGAGCTGTTTCCTGATGGCCAGCAGCACACATTCCCCACATTGGTCTTACAAGTGGACCAGTGTCATATCCTGAGCGGATGTCCCTTTGAAAAATGACTCATGGACCCCTAAATCACTCTGGGCTAGCCATAGATTGTGTCCTCTGGTTTTGTTCTGTTATCAGCGAGGCCTGAGTCCAGTGTTTCCTCTTGAGGGTTTCCTGCCCACCTCACAGCATGCTCCAGTTAGTCCGCTCTGTTCACTGGAGGACAAATACTCCAGGTTGTATCTACAAACCTACTCTAAAATAAATCATATCAATACACTGTGAAGGCAAAGAAAACTTAATACAAGTGAACTGGACGTGTAACCGCCTCTGTCCGCAACAGCTGCAGTTTCTCATCATTTTTACTTTATAGGTGTGGATGTCTGTGTAGAAATTAGTTTTTAAAAAGAAAACTCTTTGCATGGGTAAATGGATAAAGAGGTCTAGTACATTCAGCTCACTTTCAGTCCTGTTCTTGAAGAGTAATGTAATACTTGGCTGGAAAGCTGTATTTCACTAGTTAGAAGTTCCATCCAACTACACCCAGCATTCACTAGCTAGGACCACACCTTGATGAGGATGTCGAGCAAGATTCAAGAGGGTGCAGCTGCACTCGGGTGTGGCAGACCCCTCGTATGAAAGCATGACAACAGGAGGAAGGAGTAGGAGATATGAAGGAGAAGGAGAGGACAGAAAGAAAGATGGGTAGCTAGAAGGGAGGCTATGAAAAATGAAAGCAGCTGATGCTGTGTTTGCAGAAGTATTTACAGGAAGTAGACAGGAACAGGATGTGATTAGAGAGGTGGGCCTGCTCCTGAATGTCAGATGGGCATCTACATTCCAGAGATGACATAGACTTGCCCCCTCCAGTTTCACAGCATGTAAGTGGGATTTTAGATTTTGATTAATCACAGATTTGTTTGCAAATTTATATCATTAAATACAACACCAACCGGTGGGGTGGCTCCGGCATTATACCAAAATAATTGCAATAGTGATGTGGGTTTTCTAAAGGTCCTGGGGCTGATGTGAGCTGTGGTCTGGCCTTTAAAACCCCTCATTGAGGAAGACAGAATTGTAATGTCAGTCTCTTGAAGCTTTGGTCCTATAAATGCTGAAGTTCATTTTGGAACTTAAGGTTTTGGCGCTGACTGGCTTTCATCTGCACAGTCACCGGGTGAGACGTTCTCTGTAGAACGCCCTAATTAAAATGATCTCCAGCTGAGAGTTTCACACCAGATGACTGACTGTTTTTTATTAAAAGTATGGACTCACTTGTTTCTCCCACTGAGCTGGGAACATGAAACATAAAGAGAAAGCTGAATACTGTTCTAAAAATTCAACAATGACTGAACTGAGTTTCAAATTCAGATGTCCACAGTTTTTGGAAAATAATGGCTGGAACAAAAGTAAAACTTACTGAGTCATTTTAAAGTGGGTATTTAATTCATCTAGTGCAAGTCTCATCTAGCAACAAAAAAAGTTTCCCCCATAATTAATAAGAGAAATGTGTTGGTTGTTTCAGATCGATCAAAATGCCAGAGAAGACTTCAGCCTGACATCAGATGGAGAATTCATTGCCATCAAGTCTCTGGTGTTGGGCAGAGTGCATGGTAAGTGAGAGGCAGTTAAAGCAAAGACAAGGCGGTTCTACGTGGAACACTCTAAAACTCATTTGAATAACAGCTCAAAGGCATTTGGCCTTGGCCGACACTCAGCGTGCGCTTTATTTTGCGGAGCTACAGAAATGTATGTAGCCAAAGATCTTAGCACTAAGATGAAAATTTAATCACTTTATTATACTGAGGAATTCCAAGTAGTGCTGAGTTGAGACGTAAACAGTGTTGTGTTACACTTTGAGCTGAGTCTTGCAACTAGAACCACAAGTTGTGAGCAGGTGGAGACTTGATACCAACGCTGCTGGACACTTGCAGCAACCACATCTCAGACCTTTCACTTATGCATCCAGGTTTTATTGTTAATTACTTATTAAATAAATGTTGAAATATCCAACATTGGTACATTTTTACTATCCATCATTGATGGTTATTAGGCTTATTGTCCAGCCCCAGTCGAGGAACTCAGACGTTGTTCAAACTGCCAAATGAAGAAGCTGAAGAAAATGTTGCATTGTTGCACTTTTGAGAGTCTGTGAGCATGCTAACAGTCCCTCACTGTTTTCTTTATAAAACACCAGCTGACATCATACATTGTTCCTTCCTCATCACCTTTACAGATGTGAACTGGACATAGTCTGTGTAATGGATTCTTTATTGCAAAGTCACCAACGCTGGGTGTTTTAGTGCTGGGATTTATCTGTTTAGCTGTGAAGTCCTGGACTGGGACCTGTAACAGAATCAGGGTGAGACAGTAATTGGCTCTGTCATGACTTATTCATGTTCTGTCTGAGCGGCTACATCAGAGACAGACTGAGATGTAAGCTATTCATAACACGAGGGGCTGTGAGGCCACCGCCTGCAGTCACAGCTCTCTGATGAAACTGTCAGTTTAAAGGAAACACTATTAGTGATTCGGCTTTTTATACTAGCTTTCTTTAGGGCATCGTTCAGTTCTGTTACTTTAATGTATATCAAGTAAGAAAATGAATTATTTTGAATAGGTATGTTCTGTCTAAGTGCTGAGTGGCCTTTCCTTATCAGTGCTGTGCAGGACAATAAGCTGCAGTGTGCTGTTATGTATTTTTATAGGTGCTTTAATTAATTTCTTTTCAGCCATTAAAGGGTCAAGTGAAACTCAAATCAAATCGAGGTCTTGTTTCCTAGCAGAGACGTAAACTATGGTTGCCTGGTTTGGACAAGAAACGCAGCCACCAGGCTAAAGCTACCATTAGCTAACTGAGTCTTGTTCTACGGCAGCATTGCAGCAGTACAACATGATGAGGCTGACAACAGTCCTGAACGGGGCCAACAAAACACTAACATTACGCAAAGTTAGAAATTCTTTGAAATTAAAACCATATGAATTTAACATGAAGGTAAAATCAGGAACATGCTCGGTCGCTAATGTTATCAAAACAAACATGTTAGCTTTAGATGCTAACACATCCAGAAGGAAGAATGCTACATCTGAATCCAGTCTGAGTCCTCTGGTTGCTTTTAACCCTGTCGATGTCAAAAAGCCAAACTGATGCCAACCCTGGTTGTTGCTCGTTCTTTGTCCCACTCTCTCTGTGCAAAAGACCCCACCTCTTCACACTGGCAGCTGTTGGTTCAGCCCAGAGCTCCTCCTTGGCTGGATGTTAGAAATGACTAGTACAAAAAAACTCTTTTTAAAACTTTCTCTAGGTGGTGGGTGGGGCTCATGTCCACACCAACCATCAAAACAGAGACTGGAAAAGCTGGAATAACAATAGGAGGGCTGTAGGCAGCAGAGTGCCCCGTTTTCACTTTATGTCTCAATGTGTAAAATCTTAGTTAACGCCCCTTTAAATAGATACATTACAGTTGCTTTTCATGACTGAGTTCAAACTAAAAACTAATCAGTACTTTCTGTTGTTAGTGATAAGGTGGAGTTTGTTTAATCACATATTTCTTGTGTAAGTGTTCAGCATCGCAGCAGGTTTTCATGTAAACTCTTAATCAACCTCAGATTTTTTTTCTTGGATCCACAAAAAAAAAAACTATGAAAATGTTATGATTATTTTTTTCTTGTTCCCTCTTTTAATTAAATTGAATTCAAATGATCCTTCAGAGGCTTTTCTTCTCCATCCATGCTCAAAAATTACAATGACATTTTTTTGTATGAAATTGGTCAAAATTAAAAATGCTGAATGCAGGATAGCAAATAACTAATGTCATAGCTTGTATAAATTCTCCAAGATCCTTTATAGCTTTGCCTGTACATCTTCGGTGAGTAACTTGGCTCCGTTTAACACAGTGCTTTTTTAACCCCGTCGTGTCAGCATGTGACTGGGCCTCCCCTCTGTCAACCCAGAGGGGGCAGAGAGTCAGATCTGGATCAGAAAAGCAGCAGGAAAGTGGATTTTCTGTTGTTTCCTGCCAACCCTGCCATCCATCAGCCTAACTAATGGACCCAGAAGGAATACAGAGAGACAGAGAGAGGGAGAGAAGTGATGGAGTGGAGAGTGTCAGCTTAGAGGAGGTTACAGGCTGTAGCCATGGGTCCTGCTGCTCTCTTTAACATGCAGATGTGTCCTAGTAAAACCACAGTCACCTCTCAGTCATCTGAGCAGACACTGATGCAGCTGGTTACCGTGGTGATGTCTGCAAGTTCCTCAGCTGCTGTGGAGGTGAATGATGAAGGGACTGAAGTCACTAAAATAAACGGGATGATTGAACATCTGTCTTATGGAGTGGTAGATGCAGACAGGAAGTGAAACACTGACAGTCTGTTTGGAATTCTTTTGGATTGGCTGGAGGATGCCTGCTTTTTGGCCTTAGAGATGATGAAATGTTTCCACAACTACTGGATGGATTGCTATGACATTTTTTATACACTTCCTTGTTCCCCAGAGGATACATCCTAATGGCGTTGGTGGTCCTCTGACTAACAAGGTGGTGACACCACCATGAGGTTTCCATTCATAACCACATAAAATTTGGTCCACATCTATGTCACCCTCAGGTTGCATTGTAACCGGCAAAACACACTGGAAGGGTCTTCTGCATGCGTCTCACACCCATCTCATGCCGCAGATATATCATATATATGAAATGTGTCAGTCCACACCGAGATGTCTGATAAGTCAGTTAAAATGCTGAATCTGGAGAGGAAACTGGTTCAGGGCAGTATTTAAATGAGCTTTTTGCATATTTTGAGCTTTTAATTATAAACTATAAATCTGTAATTTGCCTTCTATAAAATACAGTTTGTAATAATTTTACATATCCAGCTCTCATTCATTTCATTTTTCTCTCCAGATTCTGATGAGTTGGATCCAGATCTGGCCAAGTTGGCATCTCTCGGTTTTATTGGCTGCCTGTCTGTGGTCCACTTTAACTCCATCAGCCCTCTGAAAGCTGCTCTGCTTCACCCGGACACCAGCCCCGTCATCATCACGGGATCTTTAGTCCAGTCCAGCTGTGGCTCTGCAGCCTCGGCCAATCCCTACGCAGCTGAAAACACACATCACCTGTCAGGTACAACTCGTGTGAAAGACTCAGATTTATTCACATCAATAAATCACATGGTTGCACTGGGTGATATGAAAACACACACACAGTAGTTTATTGACTCAGTTCCACATAACCCATCCTGCAACTGTAAATACTCAGATCACTAAATTTTTAATAATCCACCAGTGAAAATAATGCTCAACAAATGCATTATTTCCTTCTGTTTATTAAAAATATATACATAATTAATATCTGTCTTCAGTAGGAACCAGTGGTCTTGGGGCTGAGTGCTGTAGTCTGGGAAGAGAAGTTAGATTTTGCTGACAGTAGCTAAAATGTCACAATATTGTCAAATTTATCCTTAAGTGTTATAGAGTAAGCCAAAGTCAGTGCAGCTGACAGTGACAACAACGGTGCAGTGTTGCATGTCAGACTGGGATTCATTAAAATATCTTTGGCTTGACTTGTCAAGCCTGGACCTATTATTATGAAGCTCAGCCCATTCGGGCTTGACATGGTTTTTTACTTTGTTCAACTACAGTGGAACTCTGAGTGGGCAAACTGAGCAACGGCACAGCAGCTGCTTGGGAGCTAGCAATGCAGGTGGCTATTGTGGTGATAACATTAAAACCAAAAATATTAGGACATGTTGACAACTTTTGCAGTTAATAGAAACCAGTGCTATAAATCAAGGTCATTTTTGATTACACTAGTTAACTATCATCGTGTACAAGTTGGTTAAAATGGAGGAACACTCTGTTTCTGTCTGCTTTGGGGTTTAGTGTGTGAGTAGACCCCCCGCTGCCTTTCAATCTGTGTCTGTGTAAATTGCATGAAAGCTGCTTTTCCTGCTCATAGGAGGCTCATTAGTCACATACAGTACACTCCTTTTTCTGGGGACGCTAATGACAGTGTGACCAATGATTTCACTAACTTGGACCACAGAGGGAGAGTTTCCTTTGTGCTTTCTTTCCTCAGGGCTTGTTCTCATCCAGTTTGTGAAACTTTATGAGAGTCATTTGGAGTGTTGATGTTGAAGAGTCTGTTCTGAATGATGATGTTCTGATCTTGTCTCTGGATTTCTCTTATCTTTCACTTTGACATCTGGTCTGTTTTGGTATTATTTTTTCTTTTGTTCCCTTTTCACTTTTCTCTTACTGCACTCATTTGTCTTGATTGTTCTATTTTCTGTACACCCCTCTCTGCTTTTGTTTTGATGTTCTTTGGTTTTCTTGCTTTTGCTCTTTTGTCTTCCTCCTTTCCATTTCTCTGCTGTCCTTCTGCTCATTTTCTTTCTCTGCTGTAGACCAGTCTGGTTCAGTGAGTTCAGGTCAACCTCTAGTCAATGCCATCAGGACTGACTCAGCTCTGATTGGAGGTACTGAACTGTTTCACCATCTTTTGTTTGCATTGGGGAAAGAACCTGTTCCACTCTGTTTTACTGGTGTAACACCAGGATTTTTTGGTACATTTTTGACAATCTCTGACAAGTTCATTATAATTTTTTTAATACTCTTCATCTATAAAATAATAATGATTTTTTATTTGCATTGTAAACTAAATGGCAAAGGCTAAATTTAAACGTTACACATCACCTGAGCAAAGGTGAACAAAGCTGTGCTATAGACTAAAGCGATGTGCCAGACAAGAGTTCATGTAAAACTTTGTTGCTCTACCCGCACAGATTGATTCAAAGTGTAGGCTGAAAAGATTCAATCTATAATTGTGTAGATAGAAAATGGACAAGCCTCAGAGAAAAATCATTTAAAACTCTCCATTAAACTGGCTTGTATCAGTGCACAAAGGGCAGTTCACCTCATTAAACCTGTGCAGGAATGGCCTGGCAATGGGAAAACTTTTATGCTCCTATTTTAAAAAACATAGTTTTAAATTGATTTCAGCAACATTTTGGAATTCTAGTTAAATGAAGCATAGTCTCACATAAGGAAAGTAAGGAAAGGGCACTGTAAAGTGCAAAAAAACAAAAACAGACCATCAAAATAGGAACCAAGAGCCACCCAGGCAGTGTACAAAAGACCTGTTTACATCAATAATCATAATAAATAGGCACATATTTCATTCAGATTTTGGAGAAGTTCTTTTAAGTCTCTGTGCATTTTGAAATTTGACAATTCTCATATATCTCAGTCTTTTTATCTCTTGACATTCCTCTTCCTTGCAGGTGTCATAGCGGTGGTGATCTTTGTGATTGTTACTGGCCTGGCAATAACTGCCAGATTCCTCTACCGGAGAAAAGAAACGTATGTGAACCGGGATGTGAAGGGAGTGAAAGAGCGGGACAGCCCAGATTTCCCTTTTAACAACCAAACCGACTCCCAGAACGTCTCCAGTGAAAACCCCAAGGAGTATTTCATTTAACTGAAGGCCTGATCAGCTGGTGGGTTTTGGAGCTGAGGGTGCAGACAGGGTTTCCTTCCACAGCTCAGGACACTGCACTCAGAGCTACTCAGACACTTTGATGGAGGCTGTGGCTTTACAGCATGTGGAAAGCAAAACAAAAAGAACAATTCACAGTGTTCTGTTTCTTTAAGGTGTTGATATCCTTGTTTCTGATGTAAATATTCCAAAATGTACATGTTGAATAATGTATTTGTAACAATCTCTGCCTAATGTCACTTTGTCATATTGATATATCAGAAGTTTTGTGGTGGTCAGGTTTCTCCAGGAGAAAGGCAGGTATAGGTAGAGAAAGAGGCAAACTTGCTGAAAAAAAGGAAACCATAAAAAAAAAGGTTTGATTCAGTGAAAATCTTAGAGATTATAACTGTAAGCCTGTAAGTTTATTTTTAAATACTTCAGTGAAATATCTCCACCCAATGGCGAATCAGGTGAGAGAATGTCAGTGCGAAAACGGTGACATTAACTAACCGTTATCCCACAGACATCACAGCAAGCATCTGAAGCTTATCTTGTGTACTGTAACCATGGTTCAGACATTTGAATGTGAATGACTGAATGTGTGGTTAGAGATGAGTTGTGATGAACTGGCACAAGGACCGAGTTTATTCTTCCCCCCTTCTTTTTTTCTAATCATGAAGACAAACCAAATCACATTCTTGAACCTTGATCATTTCTACACTTATATTTTGTGTATGGTTTCCTCAAAAAGTCTTTACATTCAGTTGCTTTTTCTTTCTTCTCCCACTTAAAGGTGTCCTCCTCCCTGCTGTATGCTACCTGCTGGGAGCTTCCTCTCCCTGCTCTCTGAATGTCTCTGAACAGTAAAGCTTTTAACAGAGACAGCAGCACAGACTCTAACACCGTGTCTGTCTGTCACCTCGTTCACTGCACGTAGAGGCAGGTAATATGTTTTTGAAATGCTAATCTGCTTCAGCCTGACAGGTGGATTGTGACTCGATAGAAAGCAAAGATGATTAGAGTGACAGACAGATAATCCGAGCACTGTGTCATGCAGACATGGATATAATGAAAACGCATTCTGATATTAATACTGAAAATGGATCTAATCCCTCTATGTGTTAATTCAGCTCAGTGCCTCTGATGGAGGGAGGCTGAGAGGCAGAAAGTGGATCAACAGCAGCTGTTTCTCAAACACATATACACAGAGAGTACAGTTCCTTAACAGCTACATGTCTGACCTGCTTACATGCATTTGTACACAGTATAACTTTAAATTTCAAGAATCAAATGTTTGCCAACAGTGGTTTGTTGTTTTTTTTCCAGCAAGATTTGTAGTTAAGCCAAATGGTTATCAGTGTAACTATAATGATGTGACAGCGCATAGTGTTGGTGAATAATAGTGATGTCAGCGAGCTGGAGTGACATGCCATTTAAAATAATATTCAGAAGGTTTTAACCATATTCTGGTTGTTTGGTTACAGAAAAAAATCCTGGTGGATGGAAATTAAAAGTTTTTTTCCACAAACTCTTTGATTTTTATTTTATTAGGTGGATTTTAGCTCCTAACAGACAAATAAAGTAACATTTTAGAGGTTAAATTCTTCACACACTCACATTAAAACTATGACATATTTCATATGTCAGAAATCGAGAACATATGACACATTTGGTTTTGTTGGTTTACAACAATGCAGTTTTGTAAGACAATACCTGAGCTTTGTTATTTTCTGTTTCATGAAGCTGACAAACAGAATTCACAGCAGAGATGACAGCTCACCTACAGATTTTAACTCCAGATGATAAATATCGCTGGGGTCCAGCTTCCACTTGGGATCAGTGTCCTGCACAAGGACACTTTGACACATGGACGGGAGGAGTCAGGGACTGAACCTTACTACTACCACCAGCCTTCAAGGAAAACCACATCTGGTCAGTATGAGTTCATGCCAGAAACGACGACTCCACCTGTGATGCATCGTCCAACCCTTTTCCCCCCAACAAATCCTCTGTGTTTTCATAGAGTTGAAAATATATAAACAAAATATCTTTCAAATCTCAACCAGCAACACCATCCATTTCCACATAGCTCATCAATTTGCTCAGTATATTGTAAACACTTTCATCAAAGGAGTGTAGAGGCTTGAGGAGACACACTCTTCATTTCAGTAAAAATGATTTGCTAACTAAAGGGCCATTACCTACATTATATGTCTTACAGAGCTTTCAGTCACAACCTCATGGCCTTCAGTGGCGGGAGTTTGCTCGAACGCCATGAATATTGTGCCCTTGTCACCAGTGAGAATGAGATGGAGTAAATCAGAATGGCCACTAAACTAATGGCTAAACTGATGTTTACTCACCCCATTTAAAGATGCTCTGACTCCAATTTGCCGATAATGCAGTGCAATAAACAGCAGTGCTTAGTGGTAATGAAGCAGAGCAAAGGAAATCTGAACCATGCAGAGATCCGGAAGTCACTCTCTCTTCTTCATCACTCTATTCTCGCTGTAAGTACAGTGAGTCCCTGCATCTAATCCTGATCAGATGGCTCGTCGTCTGATTTCCAGATGATGCAGATGTTGTTTAGCAAGATGAAGTCAATCTCCTCATCATCAGTTCTACATGCAGCAAAACTGGAGGAACCCAGATGACTCCTGAGTGATGTTCACTCATCTCTGTACATTCACTGGCTGCATTTATGAGGCTGTAAAAGTTAAGGTAACTTAAAGATCGCAGTCTCCTGTTAATTTATTCATTAAGGTGGAAGAAGAATGAATGCAGGAGAATAACTCAACACAGGTCTTAAATAACCAGGATTGTACTGCTGCTGCTGTTAACACTTCTGATGAATAATCACAAATTTCCTCTTAAAGTTAATTTAAAGATTATGATCTGTTTTTTCAATGTCTTTGAAAGTATATGAATAGAATACATGATCACTGGGTACAAGCCAAAGTTTCTGTTGGACTACAACTGTGTTGGTTGCATTAATATTACTATTTTATTTCAGTCTATCCACACTAACCTCTATGTGGAGAATACAAACGAGCTTCTTTGTGTAAGTGACTCTTTCATTTTTGCTTTGAGGATATTTCTGTTTGCAGCAGTGTCACATCATCAGCTTACAATGCTTGCAAAAGGTCTCGGCTGTTGACTTCAGTGAAATCAGATGTTTAGATTTGTGAGCCCTTTAGAGCCTTGACTACTTGTCAGCACCTCATTTTCAGTCTGTTTTCTACTAGAAGTGGCTGTTACTGGCTGCAGTTTGACAGCTGTCATAATATTATAGCTGTTTATTAACAGGTGGGACATTGCTCATCTAACTGTCTGCTGTATTATAATAATTTGGAGTCAAGTTTTATAAATAAACAATCCCTCAAAAACTGGAATCATGAAAACATGCACAAATGTTGGAGTAGATGGGGAATGGAGAGTCATCTACATTCTGTAAAGGCATGATATCTCATAGTTTCAAACTTTAAACACCCAGACCTCCAGTGCCATGGCAGACTGCTGGATCTATTGGTTTTTCAGAACGTTAACCTCCTTAGAGCAAGTGCCCCTTGTGAAAGCAACAAAACAGCCCATCAACTCCACCACCTCCTGTCAGTCACCCAGCACTGTGAGAGACGAGCTAGCACAACGCACGCTGCATGTACAAAATGCCAAGAACACTGGCTCTTTTCAGGTCACTGATAAGATGAATCTGGGTAACAGCCATTTCTTCATATTGATTTCTCTTATCAAATCCAAATCTATGACATATAGGACAAGATTTAAAGAAGGCTAGTTGGAAAGGATTTTTAAGGCTCTGATGATTGATCGGTATTTTAGGCGATATGGTCTGCAACTTAATATCTGCAAAGTTCAACTTGTATTTTGAAAGGTCAGTGCAGATCAGTGATGTGATAAAACTTTATAATCCTCTCTTCTATTCTCTCTTAGCTGCTATAAAACAGTCCACTTAATAGCTTTTACAGGAGCTTACTCAAACTTCATTTTTTGGTGAAGGCTGTGAGACGCAACTGAAAGATCCAGGAAACGCTATTAAATGGACCTTAAATTAAGATCATTCTCCTAAAGACCTTAGAACCATCAACTTGCTGCTTTCGGACCAATTTCCTGTTTTATTATGGCAGTCTGGAAAAATAAGAACATTGGTGGATGAAGCAGGATTTTGGATTTTGTCAGAGAAACAGTTGAGTTTCTCTTGGCTTCAGCTTGAAGCCTTCGGTGTTTTATGATGCTCAGCTGGAGGAAAAATATCTCTTCTCTTGTCTCAGGCTGCTGGTAATTATCCAGCCCACCCACAGTTCATAATCTGTAGAGAGGTTTCTGGCCATGGAGTTTGAATTCAGACAGATGAATAATCAGATGGTTGCTCTAATTATCAGCCCACCTGCAGCACACAGTAAAGAGCAGAGTCAGTGGACTATTGCCCCCATCATTTTGCTTATCTAAAAAATGACCTAACAAACCCTTCACTTCATTGTGGGTTAATTCAGATCACCTGTTAAATTTACAACCTTCTTCAACTGAACAGTTTATAACAATCTGAAGTCTTTAGTTTTGTGTGACTCCCAATTTGAGAGAGGACACATGCTTACTGTATTTTTGGTTCTACCTCCAAAGTTTAAACAAATCTGCCATCGTTTTGGAAAAGACTTACAGGTGCATTTCAGTTTTCCTAACAAGTCTAAGCTGATGGAAATGGTTCACTGTTTAGAAGCATCTGACACAGTCAAAAATGGTGCTGGCCAAAAGTCCTGATACCGCATTTGAATTGGTGGAATAAATCTGAGACCATGGAGAAACAGAATGAAAGTGGTCTTAGTGTTTTTATTGTTGTTATTTTGTTCAACACCACTTGTATTATGAAAACAGATCACTTTTAAACTGATTCTACAGCTCTGTTTTTAAATATTGTGACAGAATGAGATGGAGGCCTACATGGAGTATTCAAAACCTGCACCACACCTGCTGATAGGAGTGTGACGTAACGAAGCCTTGTTTGGGGTGGTCACCTGATATGTGGCGTGGTTATGTAAGACACCGAAACATCGCGATACTTCTGTTTTTAAAGGCCTTCAGGCATCTGCCGATTTTAACATAATTAGTGTTAATAGGTTTTCTGTTCAGTTCTCAAGCTGTGCTTAGTGTTAGCTTGGAAAGGAGTTATCAAACTTGTAGTTTTGAAGTTTGCGGTTTTGGGACACCAGTAAAACCTGCTCCGATGTTGAGATTATAATTTGTGCATGCGTAACCCCAGCTTCTTCTCCGGTTTATTTTTGCGTCATCGGAACTTTACGTGAATTAAAGTTCCTGCCTGCGTTGTACCCAGGATGTTGTGAAAGAAGGAAAAAAGCCATAAGAATAAATCTTTCAACATCACCTGAAAGAACGAAGCTGTGGTTAATAGCCGCCAAAATGGACATAAACATTATGTGGAGCCCGTTCCCACGGAGATGTGCTGAGAAGCTCCATGCCATCACCGAGCAAACAGCACCTGAGGAGCGGGTAAGCGCAAATGAATGTATAACCTGTTATTCATCAGGTGTATATGTGTACGAAAATGTTTCTAAAAAGGCCACAGTGATTACAATTCGCCTACAGTGAAACAGTGGCAGTGGTGGTGTTTCTTAAACAAATATTAGTGTTTGCCAGCATATCTCCGAGCGTCATATTATGATGAGCAAAAGCGATTTCGATATTGTTTATGTATTTAAAAAAAAAAAAAAAACCGCGGTTCCGGGTAACAACTTACCACGGCTCGGTAGGAAGCTAGGCCTACTAGGCAGGGACACAAGAGAGTTAAATTTATCTTCTCCAGAATCTTCGACTGGTCCAGAATGCTGCGGCTCGAGTTGTCGAACACCCAAAGTACGCCCGCATCACCCCCGTTCTTCTCTCACTACACTGGCTGCCAGTACAGTTTAGAGTTGACTTCAAGGTGCTACTATTTGTATTTAAGTCTAAAAATGGCCTCGCTCCTCCATACGTGTCAGATCTTCTGTCTATTTATGCTCCGCGCAGAGCTCTGCCCTCCTCAGAACATCAGTCCTTGGTTGTCCCATGGTCTCGATACAAAAAATGGGGCAACGCTCTTTTGCTGTGTATGGCCCCAGACTCTGGAATTCTCTACTGCTAGAGCTACGGTCCATAACCGAGCTGGCGGCTTTTAAGTCAACTTTAAAAACCCACCTTTTTAGACAGGCCTTTGGTGCTTAATCCGTCTTACCTCCTCCAAAAGAGACGTTTTAACTTGTTGTTTTATTCCAGTTGTATTCTGGTATGGAAGTTTTTTTTTTAAATTTTTACTGTTTCTGCCTTGAAATTCGGTGTTTTATTTTGTTTAGGTTGTATTGTTTTAGTAGTGTTTTTAGCAGTTATACATGTTCTGCTGTGAAGCACTCTGGGCTTCGCTGGAGTGGTAAAGTGATATATAAATAAAGTTTTATTATTATTATAAGATGATGTGTATGACAGGAGAGGATATTTATGAGATTGCTTCTTCCTGCCTTCCCTTCTTATAGGTGATGGTTCTTCTCTAATTGAAAACTAACAGAGCTGATATGTGGCAGAAATAACAGCAGCAGAGGGCAAATTTTTAAACATGGCTGTCTGCAGACAATGGGGGCTTTTTGAGGATTTATCCTCACACTCATCTCCTTCTCTTTCCCCAAAACATTTCCAGCTTCTCTGTGTCTGCCTCCACACAGTGGAGTTGGTGTTCGTCCAGATGCATATCAGTTTCACGGCTGAGCCACCTCACAGCCTTGTTATCCAGTTTTAAATTGATTCTCCCAAAACATTGTCAGTTTCCCTTCGCTCTTATCAGGCAGGTGGAGAGCCGTGAGGAAGAGGGTGCAAGCCTTGACAAACTGTAGCAGAATCCAGACGGACTCAACTATTAATTAAGATCTTGTCTCTTAAAAACCCTGCCTGGTTTAAATCCTGCTGATAAGAAAGTAACGATCTTAATTCTCATAGAATAAAGACACAGATCACTTGGAGCTGATGCGCTACTGATTGAATCTTAATGCAGAGGAGACCCCATTAATAAAGTGAACACGCCTGGTGTTTACTGATGTTCAGTGGAGAAACAGTTAAAGGATTCTTTTCTGTGTCCTTCTGCCCTTCTTGTGGCTCAGTGTGTCTGGTTTTGTGTCTAAACTGAGACTAACATGGCTCCTTGCAGACACTAAAAACAAAATAAGCTTAGAGGCATGTTGAAGCTGTTGCCGTGAGGTCATCACTACTGTGTGGTTCCTCTGAGGTGCTTCTTATCTCGCCTTTCTAATAAAGGTGTCCTCAACAGTTTGACACTTATGGCACTAAAAAACAGTTTTTTGTGTTTTTTTTTGGGGGGGGGGCACATGTTCATTAGCTTTGAGTACGGCTTCTCCTGTGGGCAGTGTCTCACTGAAAGTCCACTTGACTTGACTCTCAGTCCAGTGGGTGGTGCAACTCTGGTGATGGTTTTAAATTTGTGCCATTGTTGGTGCTGCAGCTGTTCACTCCTGGGTGTTGTCAGTCTATGCATATGGGTCATTTTGAACTTGACATTGCTGGAGATTCATTGAGAGTCGGAACCCCAAACATTTCCTTTCAAAATGTCCTACAAATCATATAAATAGACATGACTGTCCTCCTGTAAAATACGATAGTATACATGACTTGTGCTAGCAGATTATTATGACAAAATGCTATATATGATAGTTTGGGGCTCTCTAGAAACCCCTATTAATTATGACATGAGGAAAGGACTAAGTATATAGAGGCACTAAGTCCATGTTCAGGGGAGGTGTGGTGGATGGCTAGGTAGACACAATACAGGACACCTGAGCTCGTGTAAAGTGTGTGAGTTTTAGTTCCTAAATGTAACAGTGTGATTTTGTTCCTAAACCTAAAATGTTGAGGAGTCCATATCTGTATTCAGCATAATCTAGCCTAATACTTTATAGTTCCAAACTTTGCCCCAAGAGTAACAGGAGGAGAGTGAAAATATTCCTCCCTGGGGGAGAAGAGGGCCATCAGTCAATTTCTTTCAGGGTAATAAACAACCCAACTCTATTTAAAATATCCTGTTGTTATAATGACCTTGTAAAATGTCAAATTGCCTATTAATTAGGTTATGTGTAGCTAATATTCCAAAAATCATTAATGAGCTAATTTAAGCAATCTGGAAGGGAATAGGTTGTAATAGCTAGGATGATCTTAGTGAAGGAATATGCCCGTATGGGTCCTGTGCTTCTGCGTCAGTCACACAGGTGTGCAATGCATCCAGACAAAACCTGTTCTAGAAATTTATTGATGGTTAATTTTGTTTGTTGTTAAAGGTAATAAAATGAAACACCTCTGTGGTGACACTTACTGCTGGAAGGTACATTAGTGGGAACAGTCTGTGATTTTAGAGGGTTGAAGCTCATCTAAGTTTTCTGCTTTCAATTATACACTACTTATTTCTCTGTGGATTTTCTCCTCCCACGCTGTCATTAGTATCTGGAGGTGGTCACCCGCTGTGATGCTTCACTGTCCCCACTGCTCCTTGCATGTTGCATACATCTACATCCTGACATTTACTGTACACTGCAGTCCTATTTTGTTCTTATCTCAAAAAAACAGAATGTGAAGCTATTTTCAGTTCACTGGGCTCTGTTCACGTTCTCTCTGCCTTTCCATCTGCAATTTATGCTTATTTTTTCCTGGCAGAGGTTTTTGCAGCTTGACTTCTTTTTATTGTCTGCATTTCAGCCCTCTCTGCTTTTTTTAATTTCTTGCAGGACTGCAAAGGTGAATTCAAAGAGTGCTGTTGGGATGATGCATTTTAGGCCAACCCGGAAGTTGGCTACAAACTGGTAATTTGATTTAGTGCTATTACCTCTTCTACAAAATCTTTTCCTCTTAACATGTGTAAAAACATAAAAATTCACCAGTGGGTTTTTCCTGATGCATTTTATGTTGTAGAACTAAATATTAAAATGTATTGTCTTAGTGTAAACTCATTGACCTCAGCACGACAGAACCAGAAGTGCAAACATGCTAACTCATTTCTGGGTTTTAGGACTCCTGCTACAGCACTTTAAGCAAAGTCCTAAGCATTTTATTAAAATTCAGATCAATTAGTGACGTGTTTGAACAGTAACAAAGTTGCATTCTGCCCACATTTGTGAAACATGGGCATATATAGTTCCTCATTAATGCGGATTCCTTTGTAAGCACCTGCCTGTCAGGAAATAAATAGTTTTGCGACAGACTGGCACTTGTGTCACCTGCTGTTTGTCCCAGTATGGTAGAGAAATGTTTCCTGCTAAAGCCAGGTCGATTTTGGCGCTGCCGGACTCATTAGTACCATCCAGACTGTGCAGTCTGACTGGACACAGCTTGTGAAATGTATTACACAACATATCTCAGAATTTATTCATTCAGTTTAGAGGAGAAAGGAGCATCTCTCAGGTGATGAATTAAACATAGTGGCAGGTAAAAATATATTAGTCTTTACCAGGGGAGCATGGACAATATATTATCAAATGAAATCTACTTAAACCGAGATAGGTTTGTATTGGGAGCAGCACAGCTGAGGTGGAGCTGACAGCTACACTTTAATGTCTCCGTGAGGCATGTCTGCAGCATATATATGACATTGTTAATATGCCATTGTACATGTCTAGAAGTGCTGATGACAATCTTGGACCAAAATGGCCACAGTTTGGAGAAGTATTCAGTAATCTTCCCTTTGTCTAAAGCAGAGACATTGTGTTGCTTAATATGAAAGGATTATTTTAAGTTACCATCCAGTGTTTAGCTGATAAAGATCAGCATCATACTGCTGCCTCATTTGCCGCTCACACTCCATTTAAGTGGGTTTTTCCACCCTTGTCTTTGTGTAACATGCGTTGTCATAATCACAGCATCTAATTGATGATAGCTTCCAAGACAATGGAGCTAGTTCTCAGTAGCTAGTTTGGTAGCCTGCTGTCGTGTTTATGGTTGGTTTTATAATGACAACAGTCTGTAAAGTTTGGTTTTGTGACGTACATTGTCATTAATGTTGGTGTAATTCCTCCTGCTACCATGGGAGTTCTATTTAATGAGACGCCCCTATGGGTCATATGAGGGGGAAGGCACAAATGACCATATGGGTCATATAGGTTGGGGGGACTTGTTGAAATGTCTCCTGAGCATCCTGTCTTCTATTGATTGGCTCTTATAAAGTTGTCATAAACTTTGCTGAAGCGTTCTTGCTGGGAGACAATGAGTTAACTGGCAGCTTAGGGGGCAATTGATTATATTCTTAACTTTCAGTAACAAATGGGTACATGTGAATCTACAAACTCATCCCAGTGTTTTTCCTCTTTTGGTTCATTTCTCCTTCCTCTGATCCATGACAACAGTGAAACCACCAGAGCAGATGGCATCGATCTGAACGTGCATTATTTCATAATCACATTGAACAGGAGCACCGGCGTCTGACACCACATTCTCTGCCATGTTGGAATCTCCTCATCACACACATATGGGTAATTGGGGAGAATAAATTCACACATGCTTGAAAGAAAACGGCTGCAGTGATAATGAGATCTGCTCCATATTCATTTCAGGATCATTTGATTGTTTATTCCCATTTGTCAGAGATGGTGGCTCTGTTCTTTGTGTGTGAAGAGTCGTTCCATTACCTGTATATTAGATTTGGACCAGCCTGCTATAAATAGAAGCCACTTACCACAGACTCAGGCTGCAGGCGAGGCAGATGCAAAGCGAATGCAGCCATGTGGACACTGATGTTGGCAGAGTGTATACATCTGTAAATTTCATTAGACAAAGTGATACAAACTGGTTAAGGACTTGCTGCAATCGGGAGAGACTACATACTTTAACACTGTACCAATGTGGTGCCGTTTGAAAAAGCTGTGATGCTAATTGTGATTAGCATGTTTTGAAGCTGTTAATGTTGCTGTATAAGGATAGTATGCTGTATGGATTTCTGAATGGGCCTACCAGGTACAGGCTCAGTTGCTCAAGGGTTCAGGGGACTTGCAGGTTGAGGTCACCACAATGCAAGCTACAACTCAGGCCTGTGTTTTTATTTTTGGATCATTTCTGATTTTGATAAAATATATATATATATATATATATATATATTTATATATATAAATATATATAGTGAAAGGTTGTACTTTATGAACTGAATTTAAAGGATCATTCCAAATAAAACTGAGAAATTCTTTTTTAAAAGTCGAACACACCCTCAAGTAATTTCCTAAACAATTAGTCCGAATATTTGTTTTTAGTTCAAAATGACACATTTGCATTTTTAAGGTGTGTTTTACTGCAGTTCATTAAGTTACTGTATAGTTTGAGTTGGACACAAAGTTACTCAGGCTGCAGCCCCTATGCCCTCCCCCCAACACTTCTGCATTAAAAGTACCCAGCACCCTGCCTATACTACACCTTTAAAGCTAGATCTAGTGTTACCTACATGTTTTACTGCTTCCTCTGGGTTAGGCAGTTTATATGCTGTTTGGATGTCTGTTTAATTATATTTATAGATCCAGAGCCTCACATTGCTCAAGTATTACCTCTGCAGGGACATTTTTACTCAAGTTGGTTCCCATCACTCTGCTTTCTAGCAGCCAACATATAGCCTATCTAAGCAAATGTTTTCTCTAAAGCTACAGATCGGTTATAGTTTAACACCCCCTGTATAGCACCACTGGTAGATCTTTACAGGCCACTTTAATCCTCCTCTCTCAGAAGTCTCTCCCTGTCATTGGCTCATTTTTCCCATCTGATCCAGACGGGCGTATGAAAGGCAGTCGCTCTGCGGCCCTTCAGTGTGTTTTCAGGTGAGAAGGTTTCATTATGTTGATTTCCCAGGAGCCCCACATCTCCTCTGCACAGCCCTTTGTTGGCTTGTTTCTGTGCACTTTCTCAGACCTCCTCATTGCTCTGCAGCCCAGCACCAGAGCATATAGATCAACAAATGATTCTGCAGCTCCGTTTATTTTTCTCCTACTATAATACCTGTAATTTTTCTGTTGTAACACAAGCTACCTTTTTGATTCTCATATAATGTCATTTACTCTTGTATTCCTCACTGCTGTAAAGCTGCCGGCAGGCATTAATCATGAGTGTTTGTTTCTCATTCTGTCGGAAGGCTGTCATGGCTGCCTCTCCTGACAAAGCTGCTGGCTCGCAGTTTGTTACTGTGTCAGTTCGCAGACTGCATGCCTCGACCTAGCCCCAGAGACTCATGGAAAATTTGTCATCTGTAGTCGGTGAGGAAACGTTATCATTGTCTTTGTCTGCCTGTTTCTGAAATTTCAGCCTCACTAATTAAGAATCAATAATCCAGTCCACAATTACTATTTATATAATTATTTATCTATTTGGCCAAAGTGGTTATTAAAAAGCTCAGTCAGTCCTGAAACTAGAAAGTGATTAAAGTGTATGAAAGAAGATGTGTAATGAGATCACCACATTCTCTGATAAAGATCTAAACATTCATGGGATATATGTTATTTAAAGGTCTCACCTATCCCCATTCTGCAGATCCTGCAAACTGAAAAAGACTAGTGACATTTTGAAAACAAGTAAACAGTGTCTGTCAGGATTAAATGGTAATGCCTCTGTTTTACTTTGTCTCCTCTCCTGCATCTCTGGTCCTTGTTTCGGACAAGCCAATTTAGAAATGCCACGACCGTTTTGATTTAACCAACTTTACTTAGCAGGACCTCAACCTCATTTTCTCATGTTTGTCTTTATCCTTCTCAGTTGCTGTATTAACACAAGTGATTCTACATGAAGGCTTCTATTCACTTTTAAAGTGGTGTTATTACAAAACTGACATGCCAGACATTACACTTTTTATTGTACTGTCTGTAGAAATAACAGCCGCTGTTAGAAAGCACATTGCGGTGACATCAGATTCAGGTCATCGGGTCTAAATATAAATCCAAATCAGCCTAAACTCTGACTCTTATCAAAGCACAGGCAGAATAGTTTAGAGATAATATATTTTATTTTGTTGTTTGGGAATGAAAAATATGTCAACTGTCTGATTCCTTTATGGTGAAGTAATCAAAATGTTTGGTAAAACCATAATGAATTCTCAGCCAAACATTCAATTGCAAATGATTTTTCAATTAAAATGAAGACAAACAAGAACATTCAATTAATGAATAATGAGGTTTTGGGTCAACACACCAGTGAATAATCAGTTTTCCCTATATTAGTTTGCATGTTCATTTTCCAGATAATTGAGTGGAAAATAAGACTTTTTTTTACATTGTTGAAATCCTGCTGGATGCGAGGGAGGCTGGAGGCAATAGAACAGGACTCCAACTACAGTATATGATTTTTAATACTGCAAGTAGAGGGGCTGAGGGGCACATTTAAAAATAACAGTGGAAGATAAGACTAAAGATGGAGGGGGGGAAAGGAAAAAGCATCTATCTCTCCATTTAACTTCTCTTTAATTTGTCTAGCTTTTGTTTGGAGTCCAAGGACTTTTACATGCACTTATCTTTTTGTGCTGTCTAACATCTCGCCTTTTTACTTTGTTTTGTAATTTCACTCACTGATGTACAGTGTATTCGGAGTGCCAGGGCTTTGTGGACTTTGTGGTTAGAAAGCTTTAGCTGGCAGAGAATTCAGTTAATTACTGTCTGAATACTGATGGAACACGGTGAATGGTGTTGTACTTCTCTCCGGCTTGTTCCAACGTTGCATTGCTTTGCCAGTTGAAACAATGACACTAACTGCTCCTGTTGTGTTTGCCAAATGGAATCAAAAGTGGAAACTTGTGTTTTCTAAATGCCGCAGAGCTGAATGTCTCATCAAAGGACAATAAAACAGATTCCATATGCAAATAAAACAGACGCACACTGCTGAGGGGAATCAACATTATCACAAGGGTCATTGCTGCCTCACTTTAGGAAGGTCTCACAAAGTCTGCTGGTAATTTTGCTGTGATTGTTACATCGTCTCTGGGATTTCTTCAGAGTGAAAATGAAGTCAATAGATGCAGAAATGCTTTCAGGGTGAAGAGAACCCACATCCGAGACAGTAAAACAGTCCTTCTGGAAACACAAACAAGGACGAACAGGATGTGATTTGGACAGTCTGGGGACAAATGAACAACAACACTGAGGTTTTCTGCAGCGGCTCCTCTCTGCCTGACCTGCACTGGCACGGGTCAGTGGACGAGACTGTTTTGTGGTCACAGTGAGAAGACAATAAAAACAGAGTTAGGAGACGTGAGGGGAAGCTCAGAGACGCTAATTGGTTTTGCTGCTAAAGGTGGAAAACAGAGCAACTGGTGCAGGATCCACAGCTGCAGGTGACTGACAGTTCAGAGGTAAGAGACAGAGGCCAGGCAGTGGCCGAGGACCGGTGGAAGGTGGCCAGGAAGGTGTAGAGGTCTGGGGACAGGGGTGCAGGGTGATATTGAGATGAGCCTGTGGCTGGAGCCAGGAAAGGGTCATGATTCATGATGAGTTTTGGGTTGAAGCTTTATTCTCTGAATCCAAAATACTCCCAGGTCAATAGGAGTCTGCACCTCTACAATGATTTTTAACTTTCCCCTTTTGAAGAATTGTTTTGATCCAATTATCAGAGTAGTTTGATCACTTTGAGCTGCACTTTTGTTTATCTATGAAATGATACATCCTCGCAATTTTTTTGTGATTTGTGAATTTCTTTGCCAAGGATTAGGTCTTTATAAAGATAAATGAAACCGTATTTACTCATGTCTGTCTCATATTGAAGACAGTCCAACTACTGTGCAGTAGAGGTTTGTCACCACTTCCGGCCGTTTTTCTCATCAAACTCTGCTCCATTTTTCACACAGAGATTGCAAACAAAATATTGTTTGTCACAAGAGCTCATAATTCACTGGCAGTGGCCCAGAGGTGCAGGGTGCAAAGGGAAGCTTCACACAGAATATGCCAGGGAAATGCCAAATCATTTAATAATTGGAGGCATTTTGTGGCCAGTTTAATTTCTTACAGCTTTGTTTAAACTTTCAAGGTCAATCTGCACCAGAGACGGTTAATTTGTGTCCCTCAGATGGCAGCTCGACATCAGTCATGTTTGGGATAATGACTTCAGGGACTAGATTCACTGACACTGATGAGTGAAGAGGGAATGGACAGAGGATTCAGCCTGGAGAGGATGGAAAGGTCAGAAGACAAATATAACCCCAGGCTGAGAGCAGTTTGAGTCTTAGGAAAAAGCCATCGAACTTTAAATTTGCTACACTTAAAGGCCTTTCTCAACAAGCAGCTGGAATGACCTTCAGCTGGTCTGAGGATTTTCACTTCTTTGCTATATTTGACCTGCAGAAGAACTTTCTTTCATCTTGCTGTTTAAGCTGTAGTGGCATCTGAACTGGGGAAGTGTTGTCAGCTCTGCTGGTTCATCTTCAAGCTTCAGCTGCTCTGCTTATTGTGTTTCTCCACTGGAAGGGCTGAAAGATCCCAGAACAGCAGTGCTGTGAACTGAAACATGCTGTGACAGTACAATACACAGTCTCTCAGCGTGAAGAGCAGGGGTCAGACACTCTGAGGAGCAAACTAGTTCTAGACCCAACATGGTGCTTTTACATGAAAACTGGCTTATGGCATCATGCTAAGGATCACTCAGTCGGCCAGTCTGACCATTAGTTTGGTACAAACTCCGCAACTACTGGATGTGTCCCTACTTTGGTGATCCATTGCCTTCCTGTAGCACCACCAGCAAGTCAGCATTTCAATTTGTCTGAGCTTGCAGTCGGCTTTACTTTTGTTGTCATCACTTATCTTAAAATATGGCCTAACCCCTGGCTCACCCAGCGTGAGGTAACGCTGCCATTAATTGGTATCGGTGGACAGGTTTTATGAGTATGCGTAGGGTATAGATGGTGGTATCAGCAGCGGTGCATCCCTAGTTGTAAGCTCTGTCTGTGCACTCGTGGTTAGAAACACCTGTCAAACGACTGCGCAGCTCACATGCAATGGTTAGAGACACCTTTTTCAACACCTGTCAAATGACTGCGCAGCTCACATGCATTATTATCATACAGTTTATCCAGTTGTGCAGTG